AGTTAAACAAAACATTTAAAATGGAAAATAATTTGCCCTACCCTTGACTACTTCCTGCGGACACCCTTGCTGGCGCGGCGTGTTGGCTGCTACATGCAGTCGCTCAATGCGACTGAGAGTAAATACTAAATAACGCTCGCTGCTACTAGATCCTGGATGGGTGACCACAACCATACAATAAATAGTACTATATTTTAGAATTTTTTTTTTTTTTTTTAAGCGAGATATGAAAATAGAACGGCCCCTCTTTATTTACTCTATGGGCTGCGGCGCGCGCATTAACAAATGAGTTAGCGAAATGAGTCTCAAGGCTAAACAGCCACAAGCTGCGCTGCGTACGCTAGGGTTGCTACTTTAACGGGCGTAATTTAAGGATTATTCATGTTTTTTGAATTTTATTTTCCAAAAAATCGACTTTAATAATTATTGTCGGGCCATATTTTCATAGATATTATAAGAATTATAAGAATTATAATATCATAGAACAATATCTAAGCATAATTTGTATACGGAGTTTTGTCTCCTTATCTCTAATCTTCATGTATTCAACATATGGCTACACTGGCACCGCCCGTTTTACGAGTGTGAAAACGATATCTCACAAACTAACTAGGAACATCGATCGATGTTTTTTAGACTCTGGCTTTGATTTTCTGTATAGTGTTTATACTTTATTTCTTCTTTTGTTGTCCTATACTCCTATCCGAAAATTGATTTCGATAAAAGCAATATAATTATCGCATTATTCGCATTATCGATAGTCAACTTTAAATGTGAAATATCCGAATTTTGGAGGCAAATTTTAAGTACAAATACATTATGAATCGGAGTAATAAAGTATCAATTGAATTAAACCCATATTTTCAATCGACATCACAAATTCCGTCCGGGACATCAAACAGTAAGCTGTGGAATTATTTGAAATTTGTAGAAAACGTCTTTAAATTTGATTAAAAAAACAGAAATCATTTTAAAATTTAATAAATAATTTCTTTTGGTTTTTAAATGTTTGTTAATTTTACAGATGGCAAAAAAAAAAAAAGCAAACGTCCTTACACTAAAATAGTACCAGACCGTTCTAACATTGAAACTGTCAGTTATCAAAAATTAGTTGTACCAAAGCGTATGCATAGTCCTTACTGGAAATATTTTGGGTTTCCTGCTTCAGACAATGGCAGTATACTTACCCAAGATCGAATTATATGCATACTTTGTAAAAAGCAGTTTGCTTACAAAAGTAATACTACAAACTTGAGAGTACACTTGCAAAGCAGGCATAAGACTGAATTAATGGTACTGGAAATGGGGTCATCTAAAGATGGAAGTCCGAAAAAAAGACATGGCAAAAATGAACTAATGTTATTAGCTACATCTGAAGGCCAAGTGGATGTTAACAGGTCAAGTTGTAGGATAAAACAACAGGATGTGTATATACAAGGAGAAATTAATGAACAGTTTGTTGAAGAAAACGTTGCTAATATCCAAGATCAAACCCCTCAGATGTCAGTTATTTATCAAGAGATTGACAATCCAGTAAGTAATAGTTTGATTTATTATCAGTAATTTTCAAAATTTCTTAAATATTAATTTAACTATTTTATTATAAACAATAGCATTTTTAATTTTTGAATATTATTTATTCACATATAAAATATTTATCTTTGTTTTTTAGCCAAATGATGTGATCAATAATGTGGTATCGGATGCAATTATTGACTTTGTTATAGCTGACCTTCATTTACCAGATATTGTAGAAGGCAAAGGCTTTCAACGTCTTATTGCTACGTTAAGGTCCCCATGTGAAATTCCAGGAAAATATAAATTAGAACAGTGCATAATTCCAAGAATTTATGAAACAACTAGATCTGCTGTGCTCAACAGCATTGCAAACAGTTGTAGCACTTTTGCTTTAGGTATAGAAGAATGGAAATGTTCTAGCTTAAATGTTTATATTACAATAAGTGTATTTTTCCAACAGGTAATATTATTAATGAGTATTAAAAATAACTTAAAAATAATTTAATACTAAATTTTTTAAATGTATAGTTGGATAAAGAAGGTTTGTGTATTAAGCAACTAGCCACAATTTTATGTAATCCTAACAGAACTGCTAATGAATGGTGTGGAATTTTGGGTTCGTTGTTTTTAAATTGGAGTATTAATATTGAACAAGTAAAAACTGTCATCAAAGCATTTACAAATGATAATTTAGATGCAGCATTACGAACTCAAGGTTTTGTTCTGATACCTTGCCTAATTTATGAATTACAAGTATGTATAAATTTAAATTTAAATTGAGAATATTTTCAAATATTTACTATCATTTATTTTTAGAATTTATGTACAAAAAGTTGTTTTGAAACTGAAGAAGTGTTAAATGTTTTAACAAAATGTAGAACAGTTTCTGCTAAACTACATCACCATAATGCTTTAACATCTGTCACGGTTCAAGATAATGTTGTTCAAGTACATAATTCATTTTTTAGTCGAGAGTACCCTCAAATTTGGACAACGACGTATCATTATTTAGAACGTTTTGTTCAACAAAAAGAAACCATAAAAAATTTATGTAACACATTGGATATTGGATTTTTTCCCCATGAATTGTTAACTGATAAAGATTGGTCAGTTATTGAAGATGTTGTTACAACTCTTGAGCCTTTAAAAGTCACTGTTACTACTCTTAGTGAAGAAAAGATACCATTGATATCATTATTGAAACCTTTGATTAATCAACTAACCATCTATCATTTGAAAGTTAAACCCGGTGATTCAAATCTTGCTGCTAGTTTAAAAAACACATTTTCCAATGAACTTCACTGGAAGTAAGAACATGATACATCAACAATGGTTGTTATTGATTTGCTCATAATTAATTTAAATTTTTAGGTACAACAATATTGATGTACAAACTTTTTTACACATAGCAACATTATTAGATCCAAGATTCAAAGATTTTCCCATGATTGAAGGTGAAGAACATCTTCCAACAATTAAACAGGAACTTGTAAAAATGGTTGAAATAGAAGGTTCTGTGACTTGTGATAGTAAACCAAATGTGACAGAAGTTGACACAAATGTACCTAAAAAACCTAGAATATCAGGTTAGTGTAAACATTTTAAATTGTAGAATAATAAAGAATATATTTGTAATTTATTTAAATTATGGACCAGGTATTGGATTTTTACTTGGAAGTGTTGCTAATGTAAAAAGTTCTCCTATTGTTAATAAACATAATATGTCACTTGAAGATCGACTAAATTTAGAAATTGCTCAGTATGAATCTGAACCAACTCCTTGTCTCGAAGAGTGTCCACTTATGTGGTGGTCAAGAATATCATCAAAATGTCAAAATCTAATAAGGCTGGCAAGAAAACACTTTGTGTATGCTCTTAGTGGATCATCTAGTAAATTACCACTTGAGTTACAAACACTATTTTATATAAAAAGATCACAAATAAATCAAGAACTAGTAGATAAAATGATGTTTATTAATGCAAATACCGTACAAAATAATTGACCATAAAAAAATTAATTTTTCATTAATTTACATTTTAAAGTAAATTATGTACATATAGTTTTATTTTTAAAATATATTTTTATTGCTATTTAAATATTTGTATATAATTATATTATTAATACATGAGTGAGACTACATTTCATTCAGCTATAACTGAAAATTCTGACTATATTTAAGTTGCATTTGTTAAATTTTAATTAATTTATATATTTATGCTACTATGATATTATGTTATATACAATTAATAAATACTTTTGTAGCTTTTTTTTTTTTTTTTGCAACAGATAAAAGGTAGTTTTTAAATAACTTAATAAGTTATATTTGTATATAAATATGTATTTGTTTTATAATTTAGTTGATGTATGTATAAACTTTTCAATTTGCAGTTCTAATAACAATAAAAATGAATTAATGAAGGTTATAATCTAATTATTAGTATTTTAATTTGCAAACTAATATGATTTTTCGAATTTCTACTTCTCTTAGCCAATTATTTGAATATTGGACAGAAACAATATCCAAATTTAAACTGAAAGCAACATTAAAGTTAAACAGAGTACAGGCAATATTAATCAACTTCAAAGATAGATCAATATTTTTCTTGAATTTAGAAATTCTTGGTTGTATGAGTGAATAGATTGAAAGCGGTGGTTTTCTACCTTTGTCTATTATGTCTATCTATTTAACATTGAAGGAATTTAGATTTTATTGTAAAGTCTACTTGAGATTGACTTCCCAAATTATTGATCAGATTATGAACTTCTTCAAACATTTAAATATGATAATTTTTTAGGATTTAAACGGAAAAGTTATTTTAAATAAATCTTGTATCAAATTAAATATGTTTTCTGAATTATTATTGTTTTTCTAGATACATCTGTGCATTGGAAATAGAACACGTCTAAATTCATATATTGTGCGTATAATAGAAATAGACAGAAAATCACTACTTCCAATCCCAATAAAGAGGATATCGATATATAAATTATACCTATTACAAAAACTATAGAGCATAATATGTTTAAAGGTTTGACATAATATTGGTTTTATATTTGACTTAATATTCAACTTAATTAAATAATTAATATTAGTATTAATCAACTCATTAAAATTTTTTTTTTGTAAATTTATATGGATAATTAATTATAGCTTTGAGCTAATATTATGACATCGATATGACGTCACTCTCAACAGTTTATTTTCTGTAAATTTGTATTCTGCAATATTGCTCAAGAACATGAAAAAACGATTTTGCTTGTATGTGTTTTGTATATTATGTGATCTTGAGTAAGTTAAACACACTGGTAATATTTCTTAACAAAAACAAAACTAAAAGGTTAAAATCTTGATAGTAAAAAAGAAATTATTACTATTTGGTAAAATAAACAAGAATATTTATTGAAGAATGATATTCAACTTTTTTTTTTTTTAATGAACAAATATGTAAATACTTAAACTGTAAGTAAATCATTTGAAAATTTAGTAATCATTCACGCGTCCCCATCTTAAACGTTCTTTTTTCATCTCAAGTTTTAACCAAGACGGAGTAGTTTTCTTGAATGGCACTGCATTTGGATACTTTAGGGGAGGTTCAGGTTTTTGGAACGGATGTGTTTTTCTTAGTTTTCTTAATAAAAATTCTTTAGCTATTTGTTTTTCATCGCGATACTTATCCATGTATCTAAAATAAAATTATATTAAGACATTTAAAACTAATAAATTTTTATAAACTTACAAATTGAATGGTTCTTTGAGAGGGAACCATTTTTGTGGTTTAATATATGGAGGTTGAAAATCATATTCATAAACTGGTTCTGGCATTGATAGTTGATCATGATAAAATGTTGTCAATGAATTGTCCCAATCAGTTTGATAAAATGCTAATCCGGCTGGTGTCATAATATCTTCATGAGAACAGTAAAAATCAAAAGTGCTAAATGTTCTATTGGCCAAATCTATTCTAAAAATAAATCATTTTAAGTATTTGTCTTTTTTTATTGCATACTATTAAAAATAGTATAATAACGTATGTCAAGCTGTTACGTTACAGATTGAACAGAATATATTCCCACCAAGGTAAAACAAATACAAAATGTATAGGTACATTATAATAAGTATTTTAATGAAGCTTCAAGTAATTCTTTTTTGCCCATCCATTTAATATTAGCCTAGTATGATTGTTATTATTTAAAAACTTAAAAAGTAAAACTTACTTTTCACTAACTGATTTCATTGAAGAAAAATCTATTTCTGAGGATTGCTTGTAAAGAACAAAAATCATTCTTTGGTATCCTGTACCTTTTGCCGGAAACGGTTGTAAATAATTAAACACTGTTTCACCTCTATTAACATCTCCATCTGGTATATTTCCCCTAAACAAAATTATATTTATAGACAATAAGAGGAACTGGTATTTTAAATTATAACAGAACTTGTGTGAAATACTAATACATACACTAGCCAATGGATGTATTCAGAATTTTCTTTATGTAAATGTCCATCTGGATTTGTAAGCATTAATGTCCATAGTGTCTTTTCAGGAGCTTCAAAATTAACTTGCGGACTATACAGCGCCTATACAACTAAATAATTGTAAACCCGTTTTAAAATTTTTTTAAAAAATATGATAAATACCTCATTTGGTTTGATAATATTTCCTCGATAAACAGGTACTTTTTTTGAGTTGTAATCATAACTAATATCCATTTGAATGTAAGGCGTAAAATAGGCATCTCCAAATAAATGTTCAAAAATACCATAATATTCTGCTACCTTTTTTATATGTAAAGGAGCATTTGTTTTTGACCATTCATTAGATATTTCATCCAATGATACAGGTACTAAATACAATTAATAATCACACATGAATTTAATTAAATATCATATATAACAGTCTAATTTTCTAATAATATTAAAAATTGTTTTAAATAGTATATATTATTTAAATGGATGTATTTTAACATATATACAGTATTTGATAAGTTGTTGATTTTAAATCTACAAAAAAAAAACTAGAAACTTGACAGTAATTTATCATAATAATTAATTCAGTTAATTGCAAATAGAATCCTTTATTTCTTTTTAATTAAATTATTAAACAATTTCATTAGTTTGTCAATTTTTGTTCAATACATAGTTATTACAATCTCAAACATTTGATAAAATCATTAAGCATGCATTAAGGTACAAGTTAACGACAATTTTGAACTTGGCAAATAAATATTACAAATATTATAAACTGTTATACCCAGTTTAAAAACAGTATGTTATCAAAAAACTACCTAAGCTAACCTATTTTTTATTTTTAAATCCGCACATAAAATTAATTTGATTACACTATAACCAAAAAACGGGTGGAATGTAATATCAATATTTTACAACTATTATAGTCTATTACAGTGTTTCTCAACCTTTTTAACGCCTCGAACCCCAAAATAGATGAAATATAAAATCTGTCACGTCATGACCCCCCTCCCACTTTATAATAAAAACTTTTGAATATAAACCAATCTCAAATATCATATTAATTTAAAATATTTTCTTTATAATCCATTGTTTATAGTGTATTTCGTCCCCATTCATGCAAAGCACCCTTTGTCCAAAAACATGATTTTTGAGAATCAGTTTTACCAATTTTTTCTAACTTTAAATGTATGCCAAATTTAACCAAATTTTGTTTTTGCTTGTTGATATTCTTTTAAGAAAAGTAGTTATATATGAATGGTTGTAAACAATATGAACTGTGAAATAATTACTTATTATAGTTAAAATACAAAATATTAAGTTGGACTTAGTGACTTTTGCATGGTTTACATGTGTGTTTTGCATGTATATAATTGCAACCTAGCAAACCTAAATTTATCAAAAGCAATTACATTTCATACAATTAGTACTAAATTAATAGTTTTATTTTTAATGTAATTAAAAGGTTATTTTTCTTCATCAGCGTTTAATTATTTCTGACTGATGCGACACCTCATCTAGGGGTTTGAGAGCCCTGGGGGTCGTGACCTCTTTGTTGAGAAACGCTGGTGTATAATATACTTTATACACCAGGAAATTTCACCACATTATAAATTTATATATACATACATTCATTGTTTCTGGATAGTTTTTCAAGTTCTGCATTGCATTTAATTTTTTTTATAAACTCAATTCTCTTGGCTGTTTCCATTTTTTTGTCCCTCTGCGGTGTAGGTAATCCAATGTCAACTTTAAAGTGAATTTTTGGATCTTTGAAGTTAATTTCTAAATACATAAGAAATTTTAAAAATTTATTATGGACAATTATAGTAAAAGTATAGTACCTTCCATTCTCTCTTCGAGTGTTTTTGCAATACCAGGAGGTTTCCCTAAATTTCTACGTTGACTTCTGTGCCTTACACTTATTGTAGTCAGTAATCGATTTTGTTTTTTTAGCAAACATGTCACCGAAAAAGACATACTGTAATTTTTTTTTACATACAACTTTTACAAAATAATAATATTCTAATTTTTATCGATGAAAAATTTTACTCAGCTTCAACTTTTGAGGTAAACAGTAAATACTGATTAGTGATTACTGAATGTCTGAATATAAAAATGATTATTGATAACACTGTACAGTGAGCATTGAATTTATACCACAGAGATAATATAATATTAAAAATCACAGCCGACTGCCATGGTCCATGATAGATCAGCTATGTAGATTATAATATGACAACGATTAGAGAGAGCTGAAGTCAGGGGTACGATTTGGATCACGGACTATAGTAGGGGGTCTTAGATCATATGATCTATATGATCTAAGTAGGGGGTAATAGTCCGTGATTTGGAGTGAGCGAAAAACGAAGCAAAGTAGTAAAATACAGTATGGCCACAAGATTGTGTTACGATAAAATCTCGTAATTAAATTAGATTATGTATTATGTATTTATGTATTTTATTGTGTAGACTATTGTTCTATGGTGTATTGGTGTAATGGTGTCGAAGATGGTAATGGTGTCTATTCACGGATTCACGGTTGTAATCGAGTGAATATCCAATGTTATAAACATTTTAACTTCATATACGCTTATAAAAATGTAATTTGATTTGCTATTGTAGAGTGTAGACATTTTATTTTTTGTATAAAGGTAGACAAACTTATGAGGAATCTTGTATTACATTTTAAAATCTAAGATTTAAAAAGACAAATTTTTTTGAATTTTCAACTCAAAGTAATTTGCTAATTTTCGTGATTTTTCAGTATTTTGTTCAGATTTGAACTTTAAATGCTTATAAAAAAAAACCGTGACTAAGGATTTTTAATATTTTTCAAATGTCATTGTGACAATATAGTAGGAGCCTTGTATTAAATTGCCAAGCTTTTTTATCCAACAAATAAAGTTTTATTGACATTCATAGAAAAAAAAGGTAAAAAAGTTGGAAACTGAGTATACCCTTAAACAGCTTAAAATAAGTCAAAATATTTTGAAAAATACAGTATAGAAAAGGCTAATATTAACATTCAGTGAAAATTTCATGTATAGGTATTTACGATCATTTGTTTTAGAGTTACACCAAAAATTCCAGTTTTCCTCAATTTTTATTTTGTTTTTCCTGCCTCTTTTGAAAACTATTGGGAAATTTAAATTTTGACCTACCAAATGCATCAACATTCACTTTCCCATCAAATAAGATACTGTTGAAGTCGAAGAAAATCGAAGCAGTTTTACTGCCCCAAACCGTGATGACGGACAAAAAAAAAATCAATAACAATTTTTTATTAAAAAATGAAATATAAAAAAAAAAGGTGCTCTGCTGTACAGTAGGTTACAAGTGGGTCACTGTATAATGGATGGTATATTAAATTTGAATTCAATGATATAATATCATTGTAGATATAAGAAAAAAATTCTGAGCGGAGACGGTATGTCAGTCCAGGTATAAGACATATTATTATATACTTATAATATACTTATCTATGGTATTAAAAAAAATTGACCTATTATAGGTACCTATTATAAATTCCAAATTTATCATATCACAATATCCATTAGGTACTTATAATGCGTTATACATCAACAAAAACCCTGATACTATCATAGTCCATAGATATAATATAATAGTGTACTTTAGAAGTTTCAAGTACCCACGAATAATATTATACAAACACAAAGAAATAACTAAAATAGTTATCCTAGGTTTTTTTTTATGTAATTTCGTCCAAAGTTGAACTTAAAATGACTATAAAAATAAATTGTGCTTATGTATTTTTTAGATTTTTTGCGCGCTACACAACCTCGTTACACAAAAACATCTCAAACTATTATCAAGCACCACTCCGACTTATTGGCCAACTCATGCTAATCGTCATCCAGACACCATTGATTTCTTCATCTCTAACATGCCAAAGCGTTTTATCACACACGTTACAAATCTAAACGATCCAGCGTCTGATCATACCCCAGTTCTTCTTCATATCGGAGCATAACCCCTATTGAAACAAAATCGACCAACCATCACTCCTGGAATCACTAACTGGAACACATTCAGAAATATACTTTCAAAAAAAACTATACTATTAATGTTAAGTTAAAATCATCAGCTGATATGTTGACAGCGCAATCAATTTACTTACCAACAATATACAAAATGCAGCTAAAGACTCTTCAACCCAGAGACCAAGCAAGAGTCCAACTAACAATTTAACCCCAGAGCTAAGGCAATTATTAGCTGAGAAACGTCGAGTAAGGTCTACCTGGCAACGAACCCACTACCCAGAGGATAAGACAAGATACAACATGCTTTCAAACAAACTTAAATCACTGCTAAAAATACACAAAAATTACTCATATAAAAACTATCTACAAAATCTATCACTAAAAAACGGCTCTCTCTGGCGCAAAACTAAATCAATTCTTCGACTAAAGGAAACCACGCCCCCTCTTCGCCGGCCAAACAACTCTCTAGCAACTACTGACAAGGAAAAAGCAGACGCACTAGCTAAGGAACTATCATCAGTATTCGTTCCACACTCAATCTCACCACCACCTCTGCACCTAGAGACGGTCGCTGAATCACTCTACTCCCCATTACCCATGGCACTACCGCCAAACCCACCTCACCAGCTGAAATAAGTGGTATAATAAAAAAACTGGCCAACAGAAAATCTCCTGGTCACGATCTCATAACCAACAAAGTAATCAAAAATCTTCCTGCGAAAACAATAATCTTTCTCGTTCATATTTATAATGCAACTCTACGACTATCTTATTTTCCATCAACTTGGAAATCATCAGTTATTGTGACAATACTCAAACCTGACAAACCACCCGAACCATAGGCGCAACTAGGGGGGGGGGGCTAGGGGGGGCTAAGTCCTCCCAGTTTGCCAAATAGCCCCCCCAGTTTTTTTTCATGTGACTTCAATTTAAACGTACAAGAAAACAGCCAAATAGATATGAGAACTTTGTGGTGTTAGAGAAAACTGGAGATGAAGGAGAGTGTAACATCGGAACAGAAGAAGAGTACTGGTGAAGAGTGGCTTACTACAGAATTATCGACACATTAATTATTAATTTTAAAAGCAGATTTTCAACCGAAAGCTTATTATTAGCCACTTCAATAGATAGTTTTCTCAAAATGGATTTAAAAAACAGTGAATATTTTATAAATCAATATCAGGAAAATTGTGAAAACTTAAAAATATTTTTTTAATACATACAAATTCGTATTAATTGAACATTTTATGGTTTTTAGTCAATTTTAAATGTCAAACAAGATGATTTAAAGGCGGAGATGCTCGTTGCTAAAAATTGTGCATTTAATTTAAATAATGATTTTGAATTAGACACCATCAAAGAAATTGTGAAGAAGAATACATTTCCAAACATATACAAGCTGTTTCAAGTAGCTCTAACCATACAGATAATTCGGCAACAAGTGAACGATCCTTCTCATGTATGAGACGCGTAAAAAATTGGTTGAGAACATCAATGGAGCAAGATAGATTTTCAAATTTAGCCATTTTAAATATTGAGAGAGATATGTCCAATAATATCAATAATTATGACATACTGGAAAAATATAATAAAATAAAAAACCGACGAATGTAGAATGCTAATATAAGAATTATTATAACAATTATTTGTATTTATTTATTGATAACTAAATGGGTAATATAATATAACATTTCTAACGGAACAAAGAAATTTGTTCGGGACTATAGCCCCCCCAGAATTTTTACCTTAGTTGCGCCTATGACCCGAACACCCTTCACCGTACCGGCCCATAAGTCTTCTACCAGTGCTTGGTAAAATTCTGGAAAAAATACTACTAAAGCGCCTCTCTCATATAACTACAGTAAATAAAAACATACCCAACTTCCAATTCGGCTTTCGCCATAGGCGTGTTTACGGGAGTGGCCGGGTGGGCACTGGCCCCCCCGGCCGACTGTGCCTCCAATAAAATCATGTCAGGATAAAAAAAAATCGTGTGGTGTGTACCCTGCAGTACCTAATACCCATAGGTTAGGTTTGATTGTAATTTTTTTAGTTACGCATTTATTAATTTGTGATCACAGATATAAAATTTTAAACAAAGTGATCCAAATCCAAAAGGAAAAACCTGTGGTGAATGGATTACGTGGCTTACAGTTCATGGTAGAGATGATTTATTTTCAAATGTATTCAAAGTCTGTAAAATATTCGTAACTATACCAGTTACAAGCTGTTCGTGTGAACGGACATTTTCCAAACTAAGTTTTATAAAAACCAAACTGAGGAGCACTATGAATCAAGATCGCCTGGATGGTTTATTAACCATCAGTATCGAGCAAGAATTATTGACAAGAAATATTAACTTTGATGAGACTTTTAAAGTATTAAAACCATATAATAGACGAATGGATTTATAAGCACTTCATTTCAATAAATTATATCAAAAATGTATTATGTATCTGTTTTTAATTTAGTTTTAAATATATTTTTATTGTTTTATCATAATTAAAAAATATTCCTACCATTGTGAATTTTATAACATGAAAAATTAATGTTTCTTCATGTCTAAAAAAAAATAGGTCTTACAATTTAAAAATTTGCTGTGCCCCCTCGGCTACCAAAGTCTGAACACGCCTATGGCTTTCGCACAAACCACCCCACAATCCACCAGTTACACCGGGTCACTGACACAATCTCAACTGCCTTAGAAACCAAAAAATACTGTGCCGGACTATTTTTGGACGTAGCCAAAGCATCCGACACTGTCTGGCATGATGGACTACTTTTAAAATTAAAAACTCTTTTTCCTGCCCCTTACTACCTAATATTAAAATCATATTTAGACAACCGCTCATTCAAGGTCCGCCACAACCTCGAACACTCGAAACAATTTCCTATTGCGGTTGGGGTCCCTCAAGGCAGTGACATTATTGCACCTTTTCTTACACTATCTACACATCAGATCTGCCCACATCTGAA